CCTCCTGCGTCAGCTCTCCTCCTCCCTCTCCCTTCGGCGCGTGGCCACCCATCCCAAAACTCCTGGACGAATGCCTTAACCTCGGCGCCCAGCGCGCGCTGGGTGACCCGGGCCACCGCGGAGCAGAGCTCGAGCGAGCGACTGGTCTTGCCCATGGCCACCTGGGCTGAGCGGGGAGACGCAGAGCGGCGCGGGGCGGGGGGAAGAAGGGGGGGGGGGTCAGGAGGGCCAGGGGTCGGAGGAGGAGCAGGGGGAGGAGGGCACCGCGAGGGCGAATGGGCGGGGGGGGGGGGGCGGTCGCGGCGCGAGCAGCGGGGGCAGGAGGGAATGAGAAAGAAATGAAATGGAGGGTGGAGGACGAGCTGGCGAAGTGAGAGAAGCAGGACGGGGTGCACAGAGCACGCGAAGGAAAGAGAGCACGAAGCGCAGGAGGGGCAGGAGGACACGCAGGAGGAGCAGAAGGACGAGAAAGAGGCGCAGGAAAAGCAGGGATGGGGCCAGGGCGTCGTCTGGCGTTTGCGCGTTGGTCCCAAATCCACCTTGCCCTGCCGGGGGCGGCCTCCGTGGAGTAAGCTCCTGTAGGCCGCCGCCTGGCACAGGGCGGCGTCCCACTCCCACTTGTAGCGGCGGTGGCCCTGGCGCAGGCGGTGCAGCTTCTTCGCGAAGAAGCTGCTGCGCCGCACCAAGCCCAGCCTGCCCCTGGGCACCGCGAGGTCCCCAACGCGGAGCTGCCTGGGGCGTCGAAACTCGGGGGGGGAGCAAGAGGAGGAGGAGCAGGAGGAGGAGGAGCAGGAGGAGGAGGAGGAGGAGGAGGAGGCGGCGGGGAGGAGGAGGAGGAGGGAGGAGGAGGGAGGAGGAGGAGAGGAGGAGAGAAGGAGGAGGGAGAGAAGGGAGGAGGACGGGGGAGATGGAGGAGGCGGGCCCGCTCTACCGTCCGCCCTCGCCCCTGACGTGCCGACCCCTCCCAGACGCCTGGCGTCGTGGCTGGCGGCCAGGCCGTCGTAGCCGCGCTCGAGCGCGCTGCGCGGCGGGGGCCGGCGCAGGTTGCGGCGCCCTGGCGGCCCTGGCGCCGCCCTCCGGCAGCCTGGGCGAGTGCCGCGGGCGGGCACCGCCGAGAAGGCCTCTAGGACGACGTCCTCCTCGGCGACCGCGCGGGCGCCGCCATAAGCTGGGGGCGCCAGCGCTGACGGAAGGACCCCCCCCAACAGAGGCGCGCCCCCGCCAGCCAGGGCGATGTCCAAAATGGACATCTCGGGCCGACAACGCGGCCGCCACCGTGATGGTGGCAACCGCGGCGACGCAGTCGGCGATGCGCGAGCGGAGGGGGCGAGCGGGATGACGAGCGACGACCGCGGACCTAAGACCAACGTAGATAACCTTCGACAAACGTCAGCCCAAACAACCACCAACGACAACCCCCAACATCCGACTTGCTACGCGACAAACGAACTACATCACGACGACAACCTGCGACAACGCCCTGGGGCATACCACCCTGGAGGAAGAGGAGCAGGAGGATGAGGCGGAGGTGGTGGGGGCGGGAGGTGGACGGTGGGATGTGGGCAGAGGAAGTGGGGGGGGAGGCGGAGGAGGAGGCGGAGGAAGGGGGGAGGAGTTAGGGAAAAGAGGAGAGGGAGGAGGAGGAGGAGGAGGAGGAGGAGGAGGAGGAGGAGGAGGAGGAGGAGAGAGGAGGAGGAGGAGGAGGAGGCGGAGGGGGAGGAGGAGGGCCCCTGTGCAAGGGGTGATGCAGGGGGAAGGGGGGGGGAGGGGAAGGGAAAACAGAGCGGGGGGGAGGGAAAGGGAGCGAGGAGGAGGAGGTAGGAGGGAACGCCCCCGAGCCAGGGGAAGGGGGGCAAGGGGGCGGAGGGGGACGACGGATGATGAGAAGGTGGGTGATTGAGGAGGTCGGAGGGGCAGGGGGCGGGGGGGCGGGGGTATGGGGGGGGGGGGCAGGAGCAGCAGGAGGAGGGGCAGAGGGGGAGGAGGACGAGCAGAGGACGAGGAGGAGGAGTGGGGGGTGGGGAGGGGTGAGGGGGGAGGTGGTGGTGGTGGGGGGCTAGAAGCGATCGCGGCGTGCTATCCCACGGCCCCCCCCCCCTGCCTCCCACCCCTTCCCCGTTGCGTAGGTATCCCGCCCCAGCCTCTAACAGGTGAGGCAAAAACAATCGTTGGGAAAATACTCGTTTGCCAGCTTAAGGCGCGAGATTGCTCCCGTGTGCGCTGGAAAGACCAGGTCGCTGAAACAATATTTGGTTAGGAAAAATAATATTTGGTAATTAATTGTTGGAGGCGCGGAACCAATAATTGAATTTCAATCCCAACGCTGAATTTATGGTGCGATAATTTTTCGTATTCTTGGCATTCTTGGGGGGCATTACACGGGCTGGTTCCCGAGGGTCGATTTAGCACCGAAGCGCGGAGCCACTCAAAGAATGGTCAAATGCTAAAAAACCTCCTCCCCAGACTATTGTGTTTCTACTATGTTTGAGTTTTCCTCCCGAAAAGGGACAGGCCCGACGTCATTCTGGGCCCGCCCGACGTCACCAAATTTTTGCGTGGCGCGGGGAGGGCAGGGCCGGCTGGCCGCGTGGCGCAGTGGAGGCGACCACGTGCGAGCCCGATCCCTGCAGGGCAGATCTCTGAAAAGCCGGCCAGGGGGTGTCCGATACAGTTGCGGGCAGTACTTATATCCATATCCAGAGCGTCGTGGACTTTTTGGGAAGAGGTGCCGCAACGCCGAGGCGCACTGGATATGTATAAAATCAAACCTCTTGGGGCCAGATTTTTATCCATATCCAGTGCGTCTACGGTTTCTGGGGAAGAGAGCCCAAGAATCCAAGACGCACTGGATGTGGATATAACTATTGCCCGCAACAGTCAGACCTAGGATTAGGTCGGGCATGTCCCCACACAGGCCGATGTTCGGCGATGCTTTTGGTTTCAAAACATAAAAAAACGTTCAACAGAGTCAAGCAAATACTAGAACATTCGTCCCCAGACTATGTTTTGGCTACCTTGTCATGTTCCCCCTGCAGAGGGGCAGGCCCGACTGAAACCCAGGACAGCATAGCATCTCTCAAGAACATGACACCCTCCGCCGGCCAGAGCGCAAGGAACAGCCACGGGTACCCCCCCCGGGATGCACAAGGACATCCAGCAGACAGGCAGAGCATGAGGGTACCCTCCCCGTGCCGGCTTCGATCTTATACCTCGGCCGACCGTACCTCAGCGTCGATGGTGAAGGGGCCCTGCCAGGGCCGCCCTGGGACACACAAATAAATACACGCAGATAAAAGGATTCCCCACATCTTCCCGTATCTTCTGGGTTCCTGTCTTCCCCCCCACTGCCCGTAGTTTCCCATATTCTCTGGGGAAGCGACGATTCATTGATCGTGTCTGTGTGTTTTTTTCCTCCTGAGATGGGACCCGCAGGGCTGTAGGGCCCGCAGTCGGTCGCAGGGCCTGGGCTCTCCGGGACTGCAGCCTCTCGCGCGCGGCCCGCGCGGGCGCGGCGCGGCGGAGGCGGCTTAGGTTACACGCCGGTCGGAAGAAGTAGGTAGAAACATGAAGTAGGAAGGCGGATGAGGTGGACTGGGTCCAGGCCCTCCCAGAGAATAACAAAACGCAGCAAAATCATGCCGATTCTTGCAGTAGGAAGGCGCTTGAAGTAGATTGGGATCTGGGAGTCCAAAAATCCCTTCTTTCAACGACCGGCGTGTAGGGGGCAACCTGGAGCAACTCGTGGGAGGTCTCCGTCGGGTTCAAGGCGATTGACCCAGACCCCCTCGAGTTATGACAAAAGTCACGGCGGGAGGTGTTTCGCCTTCTTCGGCCTCTGGGGGGGCCCTTACTGGCCCTCGGGACCGTCAAAAAACGACTCGGGATGGAAAAACGATCCCGGGGAATTGGTCGAGACCTCTTGGGGTCGACGTTTAAAAACCAATCATGACGTGTCGAGTTCGTCGTTGGTTACCGACACCGCGGGGATCGTTCAACCTTGAACGATCGGCCGTTTCCAAAACGTCAAATCGTTCAACATCGGCCGATTCTGGGTCGCCAGCGGCGTTCAACATTGAACGCGGGCGGAGGAGTCGCCGCCGGTCGACACGGCGCGCACCCACCGAGAAGGGGGGCGACACGGGGCAACTCCTGGGAGGACTTCGTCGGGTTCAAAATGATTACGCCCGACTGCGGAGCCGTTGAGCAGGATGAGGCCAGCTTCAGACCGGCCCCAAGATTGGGCCAGACTGCGCGGGATGAACAGTCCGGTGACAGGGGGTGACGCCAGATGAAGCGGGGTAATTCGTGCGAGATTCGGCAAGATGTTCGACCAGGGATCCACCAGCACCGATTCTGAATTTTCCATTACCTGGAGCTGCATCCAAATCCAGGAGAGAGCGAGATCCACCGCCGCTCTACTGTAGAACAAAAAAAATCCCCCCCCCATTTCCTCGGGAACCCGAGGGTTTCCCCCCCTTCCGAAAACCCCTCCCCCTGCTCGAACCTTTGCCCACGCCACCCCCCCCTTCCTTCCCCCAGCAACCCCCTAACGCCTCCCTTCCGGAAACCCGGGGGGGTCACTACCAGTTCGAACCCCCCCCTCCAGAAAACCGAAGGGGTCACTACCAATTCGAACCCCTCCTCCCCCACTCGCCGCCGGCAAACATGATGGACTGGGTGGGAGGGGGAGGGGGGGTTAGGAACCAGTAGTGGCACCCCCCGTTTTCGAGGGGGGGGGGACGGGTTGGGAACCCCCAGTGACCCCCTGGTTTTCCGCCAGCAGTGGTAGAACACGATCTTTTAAATACAGTGGAGGCTAGTCCACAAAAAAACATCCACAAAAACACAACTGCGAGACCCCAGGACGTCCATTGATGTTTGGTGTGTGTGTGTCTGTGTGAGAGTGTGAGTGTGAGTGTGAGTGTGAGTGTGTGTGTGTGAGTGTGAGTGTAAATTTGTGTGTGTGTGTGTGTGTGTCTGTGTCTGTGTCTGTGTCTGTGTGTCTGTGTCTGTGTCTGTGTGTATGTGTGTGTAAATATATGTGTGTGCGTGCGTGCGTGCGTGCGTGCGTGCGTGTGTGTGTGTGTGTTTGTGTTGAGCAGGGACCGACCGTCCCACAATTCCTATAGTCCTACCACGAAATGTTCTTAGAACCCCCAAATGCTCTAATAATAAAAACAATGTTCTTAGAACATAAACCCAGCGGCGTATTAAATCAAGACAGACATTTCGTGGAAAACACCCAGAAGGTTCTTAGAACATTGTTTGGTAGGGCTATAGGCGAGCCAGGACGCTTCGCCACTGCTTGAGTGTGTGTGTGTGTGTGTCGTGTGTGTTGTGCGTGGTGTCTTGTGTCTTGTGTGTTGTGTGTGTTGTGTGTGTGTGTGTGAGTGAGTGTGTGTGTGTGTGTGTGTGCGTGCGTGCGTGCGTGCGTGCGTGCGTGCGTGCGTGCGTGCGTGCGTGCGTGCGTGCGTGCGTGCGTGCGTGCGTGCGTTTGTTTGCGTTCGCGTTTGCGTTTGCGTGTGCGTGTGCGTGTGCGTGTGCGTGTGCGTGTGCGTGTGCGTGTGTGTTTGGGTGTGTGTTTGGGTGTGTGTTTGGGTGTGTGTTTGGGTGTGCGTGTGGGTGTGGGTGTGTGTTTGGGTGTGTGTTTGGGTGTGTGTTTGGGTGTGTGCGTGTGTTGTGTGCGTGTGTGTCTGTGT